AAATGCATTAAAATCTAACAAAGATAGGTTTGTACTATACAAATACAATTTGCTGTTAGAATATATATTAATATAAAAATACAATTTTATTTAGAGAACAAACGCATAGTAATTTAGTAGCCTTTCAAGAATCCAGTAAAATGGAAAAAAAACAAGGAGAATTGAAAATGTACATGACAGAATATAAATTTAAAAACGATCTCGAAAGTTGTGAATTTCTTCAAAGAAAACGTAAGCACTTCAAAATTATTGCTATTCAAGTTTAAATATTGCTGTCTATGGTTAATTACTGTATGCTTACTATTATTGTTAATTACATTAAAATATTTTAATTTGTTATTAACTGTATCACTAAATCATTTTTAATTAATTTGTTTAGATTGTATACGTCATAATAATCAAAGTATTAACAATATTAAAGAGGATACTGAGCAAAACGAAGTACAAAATAATAATGAAGAACTCATAACAATAATGAAACACTTGGTTCACATCAGTGGAGATACTGATTTAAAAATGATTTTAGAAAATGTATTAAAAATTAATTTTAATAAAGAGAGTTTATTTCGTCATTTAATGTTCCTGGAACAACAAGTAAGCAAAGTTGTTATATAATTGTGATTTCGTGAATTTTATGATATTAAATGTCTCTGAATTATTCATTTTATATTTTTCTAAATGAATATTAAATTTCAGAAATTTAAAATTTGCATTAACTTAAATGACATTTTGCCGGAAAATAGTGAAAAAAATAACTATTTTTGGTGAAATTAAATAATTAATAACTTATCACTTTAAGTAATATTCTCAAACTCTAACATAAGCTTATGCTTACAGGAGGTTGATAAACCATATTTTTTTTATAATTGTTAAATTGTGGTATAAAAAAAAATTCTAGTACAATTCGTGAATTTATTTTGGTTAAATTATTTTTAATATATGTTATATTTATGCTTATTGTATAAAGTTTAACTAACAAGTTTATTATCGTGTTGATTAACTCAGTAATTGTTTTTTAAAAAACAGTGTTTGGAATTGGAGAATTCTATACATCTTCATCAACAAGTTGCTATTGACAGGAAAATAATAAATGATAATAGAATTAACCATAACGAAAGTATATTAAAACAACATTTTGAAACAATCCAAAAAAAATAGTCAAATATTAAAATCAACACAAGAATTAACGGATAACATGAAAATAATGTACGAAGAGTTATGCGATAAAATCTACACATATATATGTCGACCTTTAAAAATCAAAATAAATGAGCCATTAAATGAAGAGAATATCTTGGAATACATGACAGAAATAGAAAATAAATCATATGAGCTTCTATATAAAATAAATTGCATTGAAAACAGCTGTATAACGGGACAAACCGAAGATCCGATGACATCCGATGGAGAATCAACACAAAATCTAATAATTAAAGATTACAATGGTATAGAAGTGAAAATGCATCAAATTCTCCAAATGGAAGAAGTCCATTCAAAACAGGATTTGCATGATAATGGTCTTAATAATTCAATGACGTTAAATACATGCCAAGAGTAATTATATGTTGAACTAGTGGCTTGCCTAGAGGTCTACTGACCCAAAGGACATTTGGCCGCATTTCTTATTTTGGTCTTTGCCAGTGTCCGGTAGTCTTAACAAATAACTAGAATATTTTATATTACTTGTATTAGTCGTATATATATTTATAAATTATATGATTTACATTATCATACACCTTTGTGGTGATGAAATGTAGCAAGACAGTGGAAATATACAGTTAGATGACTCAAGTTGATTAAATTAGGACCTCCTGTCTTCTTTAATTTCCATTAATTCATCCTTGATCAGGATTAATGTCAGATTAAGATTGCCATTATGCAAGGGATAGATCCTACCAAGTCCACTCTAATTAATACATAAAAATATCTAATGTCTTTTTTTACAATTATATAATCTTAATATTATTACTTACTAGTCACTATACTATAGCAATAACTTTGATGAATCTTGTAAATTGTCACAAATATGATACCTAATATGATATGCACGGGCCAAGAGGAATTTATTATCTTCTTATAAATCTATCTGTCTACTATTCTATAAATTTAATTTAATTGTTAAGACTAACCGAAGCCTCATATAAAGATATCTAATAAATGTGATTGGTAAGGCATTTAAAATCAATTGTTAATTTAGGAAGCAAACTGGGATCGTACGAATGAAGTCGATGCTCAACGTATAGAAGTAATAAATACAAGGAAAAATTGAAAAGTAGACAATGATTAGAAAATAATTCTTGCAACTGAATGCATTGACAAAAAGGTACATGAAAATTATGAATAATTATTTGTCAAAATTTGAATCCTACAGAATTTTAAATTACTTAGATAGTTTTATCATGTATCTACATACCGAACAATATTATGTAGCTAAAACTAAAATTATATATTGAATTAAATTAATCAAACTGTACCTGTGTTTATGTACCAAAGGGTGGAAAGAAAATCGTTACTGAACTAATGATAATTAGACTATTGTCTATTGGTTTTGAAAATCAATTATGCCAAAGCTGATAAGAAACATTTGAAAAAAAAAATATTTTTAAAATAGTTTTTATGTTTTAAAAAAAAAAAATTCAAAATCTATGATAATATATAGACATATTCAAAATAACTATGTGTCTAATTTAACGATATCAAAAATAATGGTTGAACTATTGTGGTGTATAAAAATTTGGTACGTTAAAAGTATATACTAATTAGTTATTATTTATTGAAAATAACACTCAACAGTGACAAGGTAAATAATATAGTAAATTTTATCCTAAAAATCTGCACTACTGATTAATTACTTGACTACTAGCTTAAAAAACTTTTCTATAGTCTCGGCAGTACTTAAAGTCTTAATTATTTGGTTATTAGTTGATAATTAATTCAAAAAAACAATTACTAAAATCCATTTTGTAACAACAGGTAATTTAAGAAGAGTAGAGTTTTCATTATTTTTTAAAGAAATAATGCATTTGTTTTATGACCTCTTCTAATACTATTAATGACAGATTTCCTAAATTTATGACATCTTTGAATAATTTTAAATTCATCATATCATTTACTGACAAATTGAGTCTATGTGCAACATTTTCATAAGCTGTTATATGAGGATATTCCACAATAATTAAATACCAAGCTCTTTTCATGTCTTTTGCATTATCTATAGACTATAAAAATATCAACAACTTAAGTTTGTCCAATTTCTTCAATAACACTTATTATTTATTCAACCATTTTCAACCCTATATTTCAGACAGTACCGATCACAATTGATTTAAAAAATATAGGATTTGGAGTTGTTACGAAAAATATTAAAATACTCTGGTTTCACATATTTGTCCAATCATTCAAAATAATGTTATTAGTACATTATTTTATTCTTTTTAATTAATCATCAAGTAATCTATTAGAAATTATATAAGTGAAAGGTAGGCGATAAGCAAGCCAAATTTTCCAATGTTCATTTTCTACTAAATTTAACAGTTATGATGAAACATAAATTGAATGAGCTAAAAGTATATCAATCTTTTTTATTCATTTTCAATCATTTTGTCACAAAAATTCATGATACTTTTAGACACTGGCTTAATTTTATAAAAATGCATGGAACAGTTAGAAAATGCAGAACTAATTTTGATAGTAATGACATGATCTAAGTTTGTTGTATTATGTGTAAAAATAGCAATATTGATTTTACTTAAAAGATGGTCAAAAAAAATATCAAATGGTGAAGTAGGCTCAGTAATAAACAGTCGTCAACAACTTCATCATTATTCAGACCATTTCCTAAAAAATTTAAATTTACAACAATTCAACTATACAAGCATTTAACAGATTTATACCTAACCATAAAATATTAAAATAAAAGGATATTAACATAAAAGAAATTTAAAATATAGTCATATAACTATTATTGATTTGAAATCCTTATAATCACTTTTAAGTATATGATATGTCCAAAGACAGGTCACAAAAAATGCAATTCATAAATTATATAATAAAAATAGCTTGAGAAATAGACATTGATCAATATAGATTAAATATTTTATTGAATATTTAAATTGTTTCTATTCGTATATAATATTGTATATTTTTTAAAAGCTTATCATTATAATTAATTATTTGAATCAAAACATTATTTGAAAGTTATAAACCATAAGTAGTCACAATATTGGATATAATAATACATGAATATCGTATAATTAATTTTAAATAATAATATATTATATAATTATATTTATAAATCTTACTTAAATTATAATTTAATGTGTATAATTAAGTAATTTAGTAAGATTAGCTTTTTAAAAGGTAAAATTTTGTTTTTTATAACAACAGTTAAACCAACTTTGAATGTGTTCTTTTGATGAGTCACATTTGCATTAATTACCACATTAACTAAATTAACATTTATCAAAATGATTTTATTTGATTATATATTAAAATATAAATAGAATAGTAAATTAAATATAAATCTAATCGAAGTACAGTACCCAACTAAAAAATGTAAAACGTGTAAAAAAAACTTGGGAACAATATCTACTAAGTTATAGTATTCAAACTTTAATTGAACTAAACTATAATTTAATAAAGTTCTTTTAAATGAAATAGGACATTATTGCTAAAATTTGTAATTACTAACATTAAAAAAAAAAAAAAAACATTATTTCATCTATTGTTAAATATCCTTAAACCAAAAAATTGTTTTAACAATTAAAATATAAATAACACATAATATAATAATAAAATAATAATAAAATCTAAGCTAATCTTGCTTCAAAATTCAAATCAATTAATTATTACCAAAAAAGTATCATATTATAATATGTAAACTAAAAACAAGTAAATAATAATAAACAAAGTAATTAAATAAATAAATATTATAGTTTTTTATTTTTCTAGAAAATCGGTGTTATGAATATATTCATAACACAGACTCTGAATACTCTTAATCATTTCATCATTGCTGTTCTCACATAGTAACTCCAACCTAAGATAAAAAATACAAGCAATAAATAAATATAATAATTTAATTATATTATATTATCTATTTAAAATTACCTAAAATACTTGTAACAAAAAGTTAAAATATATTTTTTTTAATCATTTAGATTCAAAACATAAAACTTACTTTTTTAAATGTTCTTTTAGTTTTTTCTTTGCTAAATGTGGTTTTCAAGTTATAAAGTGCTAACAAACATAATCTTAACAATAAACAAAAACATCGACTGCGTGCTTCTTTATGCAAAAGACTATTCAATATTGGCATGTGGAAAACGTGATTCCATGCCATAAAAACATAGTCCACAACAATAGGCCATTGTTCGCATCCAGCCAAGAAATAACCATGATCATTGAGAAATGTCTGAAAAAAGAAAATAAAATAACAATATTGCAATATCTGAATATTAAACCAAGAATAATTTATTAAAAATTTACCTGAAAAGCAACCAAATGTATTAAAGCATTGTGTGAAGTCTTAGGAATCACATTTGATTTAAATTTTGACAATGACTGGTAAATATTACGGTTTAAATAATACAGATGGTGGTCGATATATTTTAAATCCTGTTAAATTAGAAAATACATAAATACAAATTCATATAAAATCAATAAAATTATACTATTAAATTGTTGTATAAAAATTTAAAATAAATTCTATGGTATTAAAGATATTAACATTATCATAGGCTTTTTTTTTGGAATAAACTTAAATAACATTTTTTTTAAATTATTTAATTGATCACTTAATAAAAAAATAAAAAAAAAATTTAATAGTTATATATTTAAATGCAGTAATTTGATAAATTGAATTGGTTTGAAGAATAAAATAAAAGTAAAATATTAATTACAATAACAATAATATTATATCATAAAAACCTTTGATATCTCCTTAGCGCCAGAATTAAGAATGGTTTTTAAACAAGTCTCATTATATTTTAATAATTCTTCTGGGTTATCATTATTTGGTTTCGGCAAATAAATTATATCTGAGGTGTCAATATGGTCAATAATCTGGTTAGGATCTAAAATAGAATTTGTAAAATGTAATATTAACGTACATTTTTTTTTATTTATATAATGCTATACCTTGAGCTCCAGCCAATGATAATTTGTCAAATTTTGTTAATAGATTATCTAAATCACTGTTTTTTTTTAAATGAGTTTTATCTGGTTTGGGAGTTTCCATTTTCAAACAGATCTTTTCTATGATATGTTAAACAATATCACCTGAAATAAAATTAAAGTAAAATAAAAAAGTTTTGTGTGAAAAGATATTTAAAAGTATAAATACTATAGTATCATCTAATTTAATCAGTATTATTTTCATAAAAAATTTATATTTATACAAAGAATATTAAATATAAATATAAAAAAATGTTTTAGTTATAAGTGTTATAAATTAATTCCTCGATGATAGTGTCACCACTAGGTGGCTTTTTTTCTGCAATATATATTTATGTTATTTTTTTACTCTTAACTTATATACTTATTGTGTCAATGATACAGATTGTATATTACATGGTTAGATAAAAAAAGAAGAAGAAGTTATAGAAGAGTTAAACTACTAATTCAAATATGAAAACATGTTTTTAATTTTATTAAGTCTCTAAAATAGAAAATAGATGGTATGAATAGAATGATATCTTTAATTTGTCATTGAAGTAGAATATAATATTTTTTGAAAATATTTAATCAAAATTTCAATTTTATAATTTACTAATAATATAAACATAGATTAGTTTAAAACAGATATTATAATATAACAATAAATTTCATCAGCATCAATAATATTATTATGGATATCGGATACATATATATATATTATATATGAGTGTGTGTGTGTTGTGGATTAATAAATCAAAAATACTATGTTCAGACGTATATACTTATATTGTATTTTAAATCAATGATGATAATTCAATGATGGGGTGCAAAACGCGTGCTGCTCGTTGTCTAGCACCAAACAATATTCAAATAAACCAATATTTTATTATTATATTCACTCTTGATGAATGATGGCGACGGTGTTCACGATTAATAACTAATAACAATAAACAAACAATCAAACAGGTACCTACGTTAAATCACGAGGATGGCTGCAGGCAACTATAGTCGAAGACAAATGTCACGTTTGCTGTAATGTCTCTGCTATTGTACGGCGACAATTTAAGCGACTAAAAAATATATTAACAACAATGGCGGACGCTCGCTAATGCCGTGCACCCCATTGAACATTGAATGTTGGACGACGAAAACGCGTCGCAGTTTGCGCATCCCCAGACGGTAAACAAGAGATGACCTGATTTCGTGTTGAGGCAGGTGTTGTCGACGACGGCCGTCGCTGGTCGAGAGCGTACGACGGTTCGTTTGGTAATGGCCGAAGGGAGTAACAAAGCCCTGAAACAGCTGAGCTTTTCCGTTTACGTTTCGAAGTAGGGCCGCGATAAAATTAGAGCGGTGGTGATAATTCGTTTCGTTATTTTGTTACACCTGCCCTAGACCTCCCGAACTAAACCATTTGACCCGCCGGACATAACGTTGTTTGAGAGTCAGTTCACGTGTTCCCACAACCATCTTTGCTCCGACCAAACAACGCCCAACGAGGGCGCGGCACTTTGTATACCGTCTCTCCACGACGCCTGCGCCATTAAATATTAGTATTAGAAATGCGATAAATAATATTCGTTCGGAAAATACATGAGGAAATAATAGCGTAATCCTTTCTCCTGCGATATATGTCGAGATCGTCACTTGTTTCAATGCATCGAATGGTTAGAATTATTGTTGCGGGATATGTAGATCGTATTAAATAAAATTACATCTTATTCTGCGTCTTCGCGTTTACACGTTAAACATAATAATTGTACCTTCGGATACTTGCTCGAAAAAGAATTAAGACTAGCTGTCAAACATAAGCAGAAATAAAATGGTGCTTGGGGAGCATAGACTAGTAGAAATAAATGACTCCCCTCTGGTCAACCGTATATTAAAATCATGCCGTGTGGTTGTCCCAAATTATACTCTTTTTTTTCTATTAATCGCTCATGTATGCAGCTGTACACGAGGAATTGTTTCCGAACGTTACCGATGTCGCGTGCATACAATTAAGTACCTACTATGTTGATTTGAAAACGTCATTAATTCAATTTATAAATAGTTATAAATGCAAAAAAATAAATTTTTAATTAGCATTAGGCTAATGAATGATGTAAATGATGATTATATTGTAAATTATAACATAATTTTCAATATTGATATGAAAGATTCGGTCCTTCGAAAATAGTTCCTATTCAGTATTTGCTCACCAGTAAAGGCGGCTATAGTAAATCGTATGCAGAGAGTCTGTACTGCTGTGACCAAAATAATAACGACAAAGAGCAGTAGTGAGTATCATTTGGCCTCTATATAGATGTCCTTGTGTAGCTGATTTTGTTGGTGAGGGGGTTAGTGCGCGGAGGGTGGAGATTTTCATTGTATTTATTCGTTGTTGTACTGTAGTATTATATATTTGTCGAATCGAACACACGTTATCATTAATACAAGTTTTTCCTTTTAACCATATCTGGCAACATCGCATCAGTTTTGGGCGTTATTATATTACATTCGGACAAAATAAACAAAATCTTTTGTTGAGAGTTTAAGAATTCGAGGAAACAGACCCACTAATGCCAACATTAATAGTTTTGTCGATGACCGATAAGTTATTCATCTGATATTAATGCATAGTGGCATTATATTATTATTTATTACTATTTTTATTTTTTATTTTTTGAAAATATCCGATGTAAACTTATGTATAGGAATACAAGGCAATTTTTTTTAGTAGAAAAAAATTTAATTTAGAAACAATCACATAAATCTGTTGTGTTTTATCTGATATTGTAAAAATATTTGTTTATAATGATAATACATAAATGTCTTTAAATTGTGATTGTAAAATAAAAATAGTTTTGATTTTGTTTAATTTTTAATTTTAATTGTGTATAGGTATTAGTTATATTTTAGTAAAATAGACTTTTATTATGTCTTTGTAAGGAGTAAAGAAATATGATTAATTAAAAAAAAAAAATAAACGTATTACAAAAAAATAGTAATAATGTTTCAAAGTTCTAAAATTTCAAGAATCAGTGATGGATTTAAGGGGAGGCTATAATGGCCTGGGCATCGCTCCTGAATTTAATATGATGTTGAATGGGCTTAAAAACATTTATTGTGGCTAATTCTCCAAAAATCTCTCCTCGCTGATATTCACGTCAATGTACTCGCACCTCGAATTTATCTATATAATTAAACACATAATGTGAGTAAACTACAAATAAAAATAAGACTGATTGAGTCTGACGGTCAGACTCTGACCTCACTGTAATACTATACAGTAAAATGATTATTGATCGTCGACTTAAATAGGCATTTTAACCGCAGTATGTACAATGTATTCTGTGATGGGGGGCGATAGTGCGATTCGATTGCGCTCGCTATAATATTTTTACTTTTAAGCAACGTTGCCAAGTATATAGGCTCATGATAAATCCATACAATACTATAGTAGATTGTAGTAAATTATTTATTACTTATTATTGCCGATACCAGACAAAATTTCCATCACTAAGAAGTAATTGGTTATATTTTAGATCATACTTTTAAAATGGATCAGAATTATTATCTTTATTTTAAATTCCCCTACTATGTATGAATATATCTATAGTATAATCACGCATGATGTGACTATACCTATTTACTGACAGTTATGTTAGTGGTATTAAATTTTTTATTTATATTGGTATTATATTATAATATTTCTATCTGTATTTAAATGTTAAAAATAATTATAATATAACTTAATTCTTGTTTAATAACAAATTTGACAACGTCGCGCCCGATTGCACGCGCAGTCGTACGCCTTTGAATAGTTAAAAATTAAAATCATGTCCTTATTATTCTGGCGCTGCGTTCAATCGTACTCCGCCGTCTGTGAGGAGTGCTGGATTTGGTGAAAGGCACGGACCACCCGCATTGTCAGTGATATATTAGAAATATTTCTACATGAATTGGTTTTGTGTTATAAATTATTTTTGGTAAGAGGGTAAACCCCTCCCATCACCCAAACAATCCTTATGAATTGAGTTTAACACTGAATTCCACAGATACAATTTTTCAAGGACATCCGCAGAGGCAGAGCACTCACTACCGCTTATTGTCGTCATTTCTTTAGTCACAGCAGTCCAGACGTAACTGCATTCAGATAACTACAGCCGCCGCTCCACACTACTGGTGAGTACACTGCATTTTACACACATCAATACTGAAAATTATGTTATAATTTACAATATAATCATCATTTACATCATTCATCAGCCTAATGCTAGTTAATTAAAAATTTATTTTTTTGCACTTATAACTATTTCGAATTGTTATTTGAATTAATGACGTTTTCAAATCAACATGGTAGGTACTTAATTGTATGCACGCGACATCGGTAACGTTCGAAAATAATTCCTCGTGTACGGCTGCATACATGAGCGAATAATAGAAAAAAAAAAGAGAATAATATGGGACAACCACCCGGCATGATTTTAATATACGGTTGACCAGAGGGAAGTCATTTATTTCTACTAGTCTATGCTCCCCAAGCACCATTTTATTTCTGCTTATGTTTGACAGCTAGTCTTAATTCTTTTTCGAGCAAGTATCCGGAGGTACAATTATCATGTTTAATGTGTAAACGCGAAGACGCAGAATAAGATGTAATTTTATTTAATACGATCTACATATCCTGCAATCATAATTCTAACCATTCGATACATTGAAACGAGTGACGATCTCGACATATATCGTGGGAGTGGATTACGCTATTATTTTTTCATGTACGAGTATTCTCCAATCGAATAATATTTATCGCATTTCTAATACTAATATTTAATGGCACAGGCGTCGTGGAGAGACGGCATATGAAGTGCCGCGCCCTCACAGGACGTCGTTTGGTAGGAGGAAAGGTAATTGCGGGAACACGTGAACCGATCCTCGGACAACGTTGTGACCGGTGGGTCAAAAGGTTTAGTACCTATTTTTGTATGAAAGTGTTCTCCTCCCCATTACTTTACAAAATACATAAAATCAAAAATGACTACTGGCATACTATGTTCGGTTCATACTATCAGTCCTTTGTGATGGATTATTTAAATAAAATTGTTTAATGAATAAGTCTCCATAATTTCATGAATTTGTTACACTTAGGTACTGGTTTACTTTTTGATTATTAATTTTCAAATCAACCGTACTTCAATGTCTATTAGAAGTGCGTCACACTTATACGTCTAGATTATAATTATATACAATATGTATAATACGTATTCATTAAATATTTTTGCCAAAGCTTTAATTGTTCTAATAGGAACAATATGTTAAATGACGTGTATTAATTTTTATTTGTTTTACAATAACTGAATAAATTGTTTTTTTCTAGCTTTCAAGTGCAAATCAATCGATTCTGTTAATTAATTTTCAGTTGAGAGCGTCGCTAATTCAGTAAGTCTTATACATTCACAACCAAGTTAATGTTTTACAAACTTAAAAAAATTAATATCCACGATTAATTATTGTGTAAACAATACACATTCGTAGATGTTGTAGTTCTTGATTCCGAACAAAGCATTTAAAACTGATATCCATGTATAATATGTTCGAAATATAACACCAATTACCACACACACGGTACACAATAACATGTTACATATTGTTCCACCACACTATCACAAATAATTATCGTATTATCATTTACGATTTCGCGCCATCGAAATGAAAAAATTTTTTTATCTCGATATTATTTCACGCCTTGTAAATATTGTAAACACAAACCGAGATAATAATTTAATTTGTTTTATTATATTCTCAGTGTTATTAATTTTATGATAATTGATAGTAAATGTCACGCTATTGCTTTGACTCTAGCATAAATGAATAACCTTTGAAAATGAAAATAGTTCAATAATTACCACCGGTTCTTAATCATTAAAATCGATTTCGTCCGCGTAGTACCATTATACGACTTATTATTCACTGGTTTATTTTCTATTTATTGCGTATATTCAAAAAAATTATGGGTATGTAACAGTTTTATACATCCAGTATTAAGTATATGTTTCATACGAACACCTATCACTATTTTTGGCAATTTAAAAGTACAGGTGCAAATTTTAAGTATTATATATTATATACTAGGTAGTGATTTTCAATCATCTATTACAAATGACAAACTCTAAAATGAATTTATTTCTGCCATTATATTGTATTCTCATACTTAATCTTTTTAAATAAAATGTACAACTGTTATAGCTCTCTATTGAAATACCAAATTTATACACTTTTTGGGCTGTAAAAATATTTTTGAATTGTCAACATTTTCACTTTTGACAGTTAAATTTTATTTTTTAATACTTTAATACAAATGTAATCATCATTTTCAAGATTACAAACAATATACATAGTATTTACAATTACTTACCAATTATAAATGTAATAACTAATCATTTTAAAATGAGCTATATAATTTTTTATTTTTGTCTGTCTCACCAAATTTTTTAAGTTTTGAATGTGACCCACGAAAAGACTGTATATTACTGTTTTACATTATAACAGTAACACAGTATGAGATGATTCAATAATAGTTGATTGTCTAAATTTTAGACTGTTCATAGAGATTTGTATTTAAAATTTTTTCTAACAAATCAATACTTAATTTTGGTTTTTTTTTTTTTTTTTTTTTGTCACTTTTTAAATTATTGGTATTTAATAATAATACTTATAAAAATTTATCATTTGTGTAATAGAGATGGATGATAAAAATTCTAATCCTGATCCTACTAAAGTTGAACGGCTTAACAGTTTCCATCCCGACTGCAATGAATTAAAACAAAGATATGATGAATGTTTTAATGTATGGTTCACTGAACATTATATGAATGGACATTATAACAATGAAGGATGTAATAAAGTGTTCGAGTTGTACACAGACTGTGTGAAAGTATGTTTATATAAATAAACTTACAAATAATTATTTTAATAAATTAATAATTATCGATATTTCAAATAGCGTGGTATGAAAGAATACGGATTACAATACGAAGAAACAACTGCTTCACACTTGGGAACAAATAAAGAAAAAACTGCATTCACAGATTCAAAAAAGCCAAAGTCGAATGATGAATAACAATAAAAAGATAGCAATGAACAATATGACAAAAAAAGTATGATGATTTTTATTTATTTGTTATTATAAGATAATTTAAAATAAGATATAAATTAAGATAATTTACAATGAACAATTAATATTTATTAACAATAAAACATAATTTTTGTAAAAATAAATTTAGAATAGGTTATTGGAAATTTTTGAATATTGTTAGTGACTTTGTTCTAAAATTTGTCATGTTGTGTAAGATAAAGACAATGGATGACTTCCTTTTAAGAGTATAGAATGATTAATAGAAGTGTTTCATCATATAACTTAAAAAATAAATTAATGAAATTTTTATAATAAACATTTTTTATATTTTTATAACAAACTCAATAGACTGTGATTGAGACTAATAATATTGTTTAATATAAATTTATAAACCACTATTCGGTGA